AATTGCATTCTTTACAGCGTCTCCGGGGCGATCGGGTCCTGTGAGCAAGATGTCCCATCACTGAAGTAAGCAGACTCCACAAAATACTGGCCAAAGACCCTATAAACATCATTGAAACCCTATAAAAAGATGGTAAACACACATAAACCGGATAGTAAACATAAGAAATGATGATAAGTACACACTTTCCGGAATCAAAAATTATTACCAACCTAGACGTAAGGAACAATACTGAATCCGTCAAAGGACACAAAACCAGCAGGGAAGATTAGCAAATAGGCAAAATAGTAATCACCTATGAAAAAAAATGAACGAGCCATTGACAACTTCAGTCCATTCCAATCTCCAGGAACTGACCCAGTACTCTTTCAAAAGGGAAAGGTAACATTAAACGTTCTGCTTGTAATAATATACAGAAGCTGCCTGACAATTTGATCAAGGTAATGATGATACATCCCAAGCACATGGAGAACTGTAAAAGCAGTCTTAATTCCGCACGGAAAAACTACACACATGCAAAATCATACAAACCGATCAGTTTAACATGTTTTCTACTCCACGCACTCGAAAGGATACCTGAAAAATATGAAATTGGAAGCTTCCTAAAAGAAAAACCCCTTCATAAATATCAACATGCTTACCAGAAAGGAAAATCCTATAAATCGGCACTACATCAAATAACGATACAAATAGAGGATTCACTGAACAACTATGAAATAGCTTTAGGAACCTTCTTGGACATTGAAGGAGCATTTGATAACATTCCTTTTCAAGCAATGGTTACATCACTGAAACAGCGAGGAACTGATAAAACCGGCTGTAATTGGATAGAATCAATGGTAAAAAGCAGAAAAGTACAGGCCTTCTTTTTGATTTCAAAATAATCCTTTCTTGCAAGCAATAAAAACTTGAGATATGGTACTTATAGAATATAAGTATGTTTAGTAAAGTATTTGTATATTAGCGATTTTTTAATACGAAATAGTTGGGCTCTTAAGCTACATGAATCTTAATAACTAATAAGATTAAAAACTATATCAATTAATTATAAAAGCAAATTATTTTTCTTTTGTCTAAAGATTTTCTTAGGTGTAAAATAATTGGTTTCTTAAAAATCCTATGAAAATATTGTTTTAATTAAGTTAAATTAATTATTAAATTTTTAATATGAAATAGTTGGGCTCTTAGGCTACATGAATATTAAAAACTATATCAATTAATTATAAAACAAATTATTCTTCTTTCAATTAGAGATTTTTTAAGTATAAAATAATTGGTTTCGTAAAAATCCTATGAAAATATTGTTTTAATTATGCTAAATTAAATTNTAAAACATTATTTTTTTACAACTAACATTATGTAAAATTAAAATAATAAATAATTTAATTAAATTGGAAAGGAACTAAACAATTCGGGCATACAACCATAATCAACAAAATCAGACACCCATTATTAGAAATGGGGACTGACTACACGATCCCGGAAACAATCTTCACAACTTCCTATAAAGTCTCAACAGATTATAAAGGAGAGGAAGAACACAGAAGAGCATCAGATACAATGATATGGTACACAGATGGCTCCAAAACAAACGAAGGAACCGGATCAGGCGTTTTCTGTACAAGCCCAAAATATGAGCAGTGAAACTCATTAGGGAAGTACACTTCGGTCTTTCAAGCGGAAATACATGCCATCAATGCTTGTGCCCTGGAAAATTTTAGAAGAGGTTACACTGACAAAAAAATCCTCATAAGATCAGACAGCCAAGCAGCCATTAAAGCATTACCATGTAAAAGAATTACATCAAAACTAGTCATTGAATGGATCCAAAATCTCCAAAACCTGGGAAAACACAACAACCTGATGATATCTTGGGTGCCAGGGCACAGAGGAATTTTGGATAACGAGGAAGCAGACAAACTGGCCAGAGGAGGATCTGCAAGACCATACATAGGCCCCGAACCTATCCTTGGGATAACAAAAACAAATATAGAATACTCCATCGCAGAATGGATCCAAACAAAACAAAAGGAGAAGTGGATAAACTCTAGCGGTGCTGGACATAGTAAACTTATGATGAAACAACCCTCACCAAGACTGGCAAAAGGCCTGCTGCAACTGGAGAGGGCTAACCTCAGAGGAGTGATAGGACTATTAACCGGTCACTGGTATCTGAGAAAACATCTACACAACATGGGTATAAACAGCGATGATCCCATTTGCAGATTATGTAATGAGGAGGAAGAAACAGCCACTCATATCATCTTCGAATGCGAAGCAACAGCTCAATGGAGGTTTAACCTAACGTACGGAAAAGACTTAGGGAATCAAATTGCAGCAACAGCAGTCAATGACCTGATACTTCTAAGAAGAAGTATGGAGTCTATTGACTGAACTAAGGAACTAGGAAGGCACAATAAGCCCGAAGGCTGCCGTGCCTGAGGAATACAAACCCCGCTTCCTAGTACCCTTTCCACCATACCATACCATACCAACATTATATAAAATAAAACACATTTTTTAAAATAAAATAAAAATAAAAATAAAAGGATTCCCTTTGAATTTGAGATTGTTTTTAGATAATATAATTGGGCTATTAAAAACCATATGTAAATTAATCACAACTAACATTAAAAATGGTATAAAATTAAACATAAAAATAAATTATTATTTTACTTTGAGATACAATGATATCAAATTAAAATTTCTTCTATTAATTCGTGATTTTTTTAATGAAAAAACAAGTGGTCTATAAAATATTATTTTCTCTTTAAAAACAATTCGAATAATTAGAAGAATAATCATTACTTTAAATTTAATTTTAATTGTAATTAATATTCATGTGGTATCATTTTTGTAAATTTTCTGATTACTGAAATCTTATTAATTTAGTAAGCACAACTCTGCACACGTATGTACATACACACGGGTACAGAAGTGGAGCCCATCACTTCTCGCAGTCCGCCGGCAATTCCAGCATTCGTAATTAACAATAAATTAACGGCAGGCCTCGAGAATCTCTCACATAGACCCACCACATATACCAGATGTACTAATTGACCGTTGTTGTACAAGTTCCTCTCAAATTCCTCTTCAAACTGGAATTAGATATATTATGTAATATCTGTACCGTTGGGTCGCATATGACCAGATCTATCATGGGAGAGTGTATAGAGAAGTTGGTACGGGAAAATATATGCTGGATTTTTTTCTGAGTCAATATTATAATTAAGTAAGGTTTTTAGTTGAGATAAAAAAGTCAATGGCACGAGCGGGATTCGAACCCACGATCTTCGGCTTGATACGCCGCTGCTCTACCACTTGGGCTATCGTGNGTGGTAGAGCAGCGGCGTATCAAGCCGAAGATCGTGGGCTCGAATCCCGCTCGTGCCATTGACTTTTTTATCTCAACTAAAAACCTTAATTAATTGTTATATAATAATTGGTCAAGCGGACCAGGAAATTAGTGAATTATAATTAAGAATATGAAAAGAATACTATAATTAGGAATATAAATATTATATCGGAGATATTTCTTCTTAGCATGGAGGGAATCTAAATTAAAATAACTGGATTTGTTGCGGAAAGAGACTAATGTCAGAAATTTCCCTTTAATTTTTCTAACATTTTGGTATGTAAAAACCAAACGGGACTAACATTCTCTAGAACTGGTCGGACTATTGCTGTGTAAATACAGATTAGAGGAGTGGTTTCTGGAAAGTCTGGGAGGATCTTGAAAGTAACCCTACTAGTTTGTATGTCCTTTTCCAAATGGTTTCTATGGGAAGGTTGAATGTTAATTTACTATCACGACAGATTCAATGTGTAATGCTGGATAGTCTTCTTAAGTGAGTTTTTTAATCATTACTGACAAAAAAACATTTGTGACTTTACGGGAGGAAGCGATAATAGAGCATTTGTTCAAGATCAAAGACATACTATGTTCATAGCACCATTTATATAAGTTGTCTAGTAAATGCTGAAGCATAAGACGATATTAAAACGAAAGAACAATATTAGTGATAGAGTGAATTAATTTTCATCTGCAAACAGCAATGATCTCACAAAATGAAGAATAGAAAGCAGGTCATTGATAAAAAGAAACAGAACTGGGCCCAAGTGTGATCCATGAGGAACGCCAGAATTAACTTTAAATTCAGAGGAATTAATTCGGACTCATTGAACAGGAATTTTTAGAAGCTGTGAAACCATAGGAGCGTAGTATTACTAAAGTCAATATTTTTGAGTAATACAGTGATCAACCGAGTGAAAGGCCTTGGAGAAGTCAGTGTATATACAATCAACTTTCTATTTTGATTTAAGGGCAGAACTGGTATATTATTGACAGATATGGAGATTGGTCACGGTATAACTGCCTTTGAGGAAGCCATGTTGTTCATCAGAAATTGGAGGTAGGATAGAATGAGAATGTAAATCTAAAACAACATATTCAAAAAGTTTACGGATTTTAGGTTGAATAGATTAGGGCGATAGTTTCTAATGTTGGCTCGCTCTCCGGAATAAATAAATAAAATAAAGGAACAATACCACTAGTCTTTAACAATTTGGAAAATTCTCCTTTAGCGAGGGAAAAATTAAATTGGACAATTATTTAAGGTTTTTAGTTGAGATGAAAAAAAGTTAATGGCATGAGAGGGATTCGAACCCACGACCTTTGGCTAGATACGCCGCTCTACCACTTGAGCTATCGTGACCTCGATCCACTAGGACATCAACTCCCCATCAAAGGTCGTGGGTTCGAATCCCTCTCATGCCATTAACTTTTTTTCATCTCAACTAAAAACCTTAAATAATTGTCATGTATTAATTGGTCAAGCGGACCACGAAAATAGTGAATTAAATTGGATAGTGCAGGGGAGCATTACTCCTTACCCAATATTGTTTTGATTCGTAAAAAAATTAATATTTCAAAATTAGTTTAAATTAATGCAAATTAGTGTAATTACACTTCGCGATATAAGAATAAATGATGCACTTACTGATGACGATATGGACCAATCAGGGACAGTGATGATTGATAATAGCAGCCGTCGATGCGTCCAAACGTGTTCAGGCATTCTTGAGCCAGTCGATTCCTAGACAATTAAGTACAAATTTGTTAATTTTCAAATATGACAAAATAAAAGTTTATACTATTGGCAGAATTATTTGTTGTTATATTATTGTCTCTGCTAATTATGTTTATTTACATCGACGATTTGTTACAATGGGGGTTTCAGACGCAAAATTATATAGCTTTTTAGCAATATAGCTTTGTTGTGGTAATAAAATAATATGCAGGATTGTATTAAATGAGCCCGGACATGCACAAAGTTACAAAACCGAAAAGACGCTTTTAGTAAAGTACGCTTAGATTCGTTTTAAGCAGGCTTTAAATCCCTAACATACGAATTTTTATAGCGACCAAAAAATAAACATTATTGAGCTCGATTAGCCGGGGTAATTTTTCTTGGCTTCGTTGTCCTTAGTTATAATAAAAATGTAGTAACTTCTTTAGCTTTTTTTTGTTCAAATTCAACTCCATTACATGAGTTGGAAAGTTGAGTTTGTCTACTTACACGTTTAAATTTTACGTTGGTACAAATAAAAAATGGATTAAATTAAGAAAAAACGTTTCAAACGTATTATCTTATTTCCCCGGACATAATTTATTAACTGAGACCGACTTTGTGCCATCACGTGTAGTCTAAAGAGTACCAAAACCCACTAAAGTTTCGGTCGATCGCTGTTGTTGTTTTTTTTCAACCCCCGGGGTGCCAGTATTTTTGAAAAAAAAAACCATTTGTAAGTATGGCCGGTTCGAATGCAGGGCCGCTGGATTCGAACCCGGGACCTTTACCTTACAGTGATGAGCGCCATGTCAACGCCACCAAAAGCTTCATTTACCCGATTAAATCGATTTATTAAGAATTCCCTTAAGTCAGTTTATAATGAACACTGTTATGGAAAACTGATGGTATTTATGGAGTTAGTTGCCAACGACGTGTCAACGCCTAAACCGTTGCGGCCACCGACGCCCCCCTCGTTGTTATTATTTCAATATTAACACAAATTTTACGATTTTTGGATGGAAAAATCGGATGTAGAAAGCAAAAAATTGTGTTTGAAAAAAAAACCAATTCGGATTCGTTGTAAGCATTCTTCAAAGCTCTTAAATATAAATTTTCATAGCAAACAAAAAATAAACATTACTGAGCTCGATTTGCCTGGGTCATTTTTCTTTGCTTCGTTGTACTTTTTGAAATCAAAATTTAATAACTTCTTTGTTTTTTATAAAATTCAACTTCATTACGAGGGTTGGAAAATTCATTTTTCTACTTACGACCTTCGGGTTCCGAATCCCCCTCGTCACAATGACTTTTTCATTTCAACCAATACTTTACATAAAGATTAATTAATTGAAAGAAGTTATTTGGTCATGCGGACCACGAAATATAATGGATTTAATAAGTAAAACGGAGTATATCTTCACTAAAGCTCTCCGTGGCCATTTCATTTGTCGCCGAGAATCGAATCGGGATTACACATTTGAAAAATGGCAAAAAGGAGTGCAAATTCGAAAGGTAGGTTGAGATGGGAAGTTGGTGTCCCAGTGAATCGAAATCAAGTAGCTCAAGTGGTAGAGCAGCGGCGTAATTGAGCCGAAGGTCGTGGGTTCGAATCCCCCTCGTCTCACTAACTTTTTCATTTCAACCAATACCTTACATAAAGATTAATTAATTGAAAGAAGTTATCTGGTCAAACGGATCACGAAACATAATGGATTAACACAAATTATATGATTTTTGGAAGAAAAAATCGGAGGTAGAAAGCAAGAAAAAATTGTGTTTGAAAAAACCAATTCGGATCCGTTGTAAGCATAATTTAAAGCTCTTAAATATAAATTTTCATTGTAAACGAAAAGAAACCTTACTGAGTTCGATTAGCCGGGGTAATATTTCTTTGCTCTGTTGTCCTTTGTTGTAATCAAACTGTAATAACTTCGACTGTTGGAAAATTAAATTTTGCTTCTATTAGGCTATGTCAACAATCTTTAGATTTTATGGAAGTATAAGTGAGAAAAATGAGTATAAACTCAACGAAATCTCCCTCGAAAATTCTATGTAAATTTTTTTGCCAATTGTTTTTTATTTAAAAAAATAAGAGGCGAAAAATGCTTTAAAAAAATATTTTTTGGTTTTTCAAAAAATTTGTATTCGTGGGTCTGCAAAAAAAATTTAAATCAACGTTGTTTTTGCTCAAAACATATTTTAACCTTCTATAATAGGCATAACTCAGATTATTTTAACATATCTTAATTCAAAAATCTTTCCCCTTGTTCTGTCTCTCCTAGATTAAAAGATGACTTCACCAAAACCCAGCATCACTCCAACCATGCCAAATCATCTCCATAACCTCCCACAACACAATATAACAGAATAATTGTAATGAGCAGATCCGTAAACCCAAGTCCTGATGTTGGTTATTCCTTCGTCACTTTGTCACAATTTATGAATTTCAGTATCTAATATTCTCAGTTAACCGACAATAATTTTGACATGAGCTGTCCTGCGTATTTTTTTTCTCGTCATAAATAAAAATCACAAATCGTGTGATATATAATAGCCTTGAAATACATACAACAAAGGCAGAAAACCTTTATTAAAAAAAAAGGTTTAAATTACATAAACATTTTTCGGTTACTAAGGTTCATTGATAACATCACTCGGACAAATGTTTAATATTTTTCGACTTAGTCTAACCAAATAGTTTAATTAAAATCGGTTATAGGAACAGACATCTGCGAGGTTGGGGACCGCGGTAGCCGAGTGGTTAGCATGAGAGACTCTCACGCCGCGGTCGTGGGTTCGATTCCCGCCGTCGCCTCTGGCCCTTTTTTCCCGATAACCCCCAATTTGAACACTCAAGAATTCGTACTATGGCTAATATGCAAGATCATAAGGCCAATAAAAAATAAAAAAAAATAAAAATCTGCGAGGTAGGTTTAGATTATCAAGTTAATTTTATAAATTATATCTATGCTACTGAATCGTTTTCAATAGAATGAAATTTAATTGCTACTAAGAAAACACCTTTTCGGCTGAACGTTACTGGTAAAAGTTCATAAAAGACATAAAAAAATGGATCACGTGGAAAGTCATCATTATTCAAGTGCTGATTAAAGGAATATTAATAATGAGCACAGAGATAAATCAAATGTCCTCCTTCTTCCTACACAGATCATCACGCTAATATTTCATTTTTATCACAATCTTGAATGTAATTAACGCGGTAATCGAAACGAGAAGAATTATTCCCTCAGTAGAAATGATGAAGGTGGGGTATATTGTTCAACTTTTTTAAAATATGGTTCTCACTTACAGTTTATTGTTTTCAACGATCCGAATTTCAAGCATTAAACGCTCATCATCATGTTGAAGGATTTACAAACATGTCTCTTGGCGAGTGATCCACCGCCAACGCGACATTCCAATGAGATGTTAAATATTATTTAGTTCACTAATTTCGTAGTCCGCTTGACCAATTAATATATTACAATTAATTAAGGTTTTTAGTTGAGATAAAAAGTCAATGGCACGAGCGGAATTCGAACCCACGATCTTCGGCTTGATACGCCGCTGCTGTACCACCTGAGCTATCGTGACCTCGATCCACTCGGACACAAACTTTCCATCTCAACCGGCGTATCAAGCCGAAGATCGTGGGTTCGAATCCCGCTCGTACCATTGACTTTTTCAGCACAACTAAAAACCTTAATTAATTGTACAATATTATTTAGGTACGTTTTTAAAATATGAGATAGATCAAAATTATGTAATATGCATTTATCTCCTTCATGTTTAATTTTACTTTTTTTTCCAAATTTCTCAAGCCAATCTAATTTCCTCCCTTTGTCGAAAATGTGAAACACTGTTGTTTTTAAATTTAAATTTAAATTGTGTTTTCCTTCATTTAGATGGTCTTTTCAATTGAGCAAACGTGTTCGATTTAGGCAAGGGTTCTTTAAGTCTCGTTTTAATTTTTTTACGGTTTTGTCTTATATATTTAAATTAATCGCTAATTTAAAATTATTTCCTTACAGTATTTTTTAAGATGATATATAGTTTTGTTGTAATTAACGTTTTTTGAAAGTTTAAAATTAAGATGCGTTAAAAACCAGGTTCTTTGAAACGTCGCGTTAGAGTTGGATCGGCGGGGTTCACTCAATTCATGTGAAGAGACGTGCAACGTGCATGTAACTCCTTCCAACCTGATTATGAGCTTTAAGCTTGAAATCAGGATAGTTGTAACAACAAACTGTCTTATAAAGAAGTTATTCCCAGAGTTTTTTCGGCATATATATTTGGAATTCGTTCACCTTTCGCGATTTCGTAATTTTCGTGCGGCATTTATATTCCGCTTTAATCCCAAGGGACCAGACGATTAGCCGGGAACACACTTACCCGATGCAACGCTATACGATGCTACCCGACACCTTGCCACGTTTTGGTAGGGTGTGCACATCTATACGACGACAAGCGCACGCCACGTACAGTCACACAGCGTATATCACAAATCAGTATCACAATCGCAACGCATCTTTTGTTCTTAATGCATTATTTTGAGCAAAACCATGTAATAAATTGTTAGTTAAATTTTATGAGCACAACCACGTAATAAATTGTTACTTAAATTTAATTGTTTTAAATAAAGTTATTCCGGTGTTTTGATAAATTTTCTTCCTAACCATCATAATTAAATAATTTTTATAAAAACTCACGAATTTTTGATCTCGTTTAATTTGGTTTATATTAAAATAAGAATGTTGTAATTAATATAACGACAAAATTACATATACACAGTTTGGAACAAACTACAAAAATATGAGTGTCCTGTTCTGACGCTACTCGACGAAAATGGTGTAATTGTATGAGCGAGACAATGAAATAAATTGTTAGTTAAATTTTAGGAGCAAAACCAAGTAATAAATTGTTAATTAAATTCATTATATCAAAAGATGGTATTCCGGTGTTTTGATCAATTTTCTACCACACCATTAAAATTAATTTTTTGAATAAAAACTAACGAATATTTG